ATAGACTTTTATACATTCGTTATCCTTCGTGGAGTGCATTGAGTACATGCATAACATATGGAACTTTTTCGTCATAGTCCGTAGGTAACTGGTTTTTTAATGGCGAATCCGGTGACATTGTGTGTCGGAAACCTAGACCCAATTATTATCGGCGGCGAGAAGGCAAAAATATAACCATTACAACGCGCTGTGAATGTCACACGGATGTCAAAGTATGTAACAAAAATAATGCATCCGACCCGCGTGATACACATCATCATCATCCACAAGAAATACCGCAAAAAACTAACGAATTCTGGTAGAATAAAAAAAAAAAATAAGTAATCTCATTTCGTTTTGGAGTACTACGGGAGAAAAAAAATACCATAATTGTACCGTTATAATATTTTATATTTTATACGACGAGACCTGCGAGAATGGCGAGTGAAAAAAAAATGACGGTCGGAATTTGAAGTAAAGAGAAAAAAAAGTAATAGTAATAATAACAACAAACAAGTAGAGTCACGGATGAGTTGTGTGTGTCTGTGTTTCGATTGTAAGAACAGCAGAAAATCATATTCTCCGCATGGCATTACTTTTGAATCACAATTCGAAATGATTAACAATCTACATAATTGTGTATTCACTTTTTACATAAGAAAATTCCAAGAGGGCAAGCCATCCAGCATCCAATCTGCAACTGTCGGTATTCGGTAGAGATGGAGTTACATTTTTTAGGAAAATGATTTGCGTTGAAAAAAAGTGATAAGAATTGTGATTGATAAGAAGGCTCAAGACGTGGCCGTTCAATGAAAAATTACTAAAACCCAAGTCAATTTTTTGAAAAGCAGTCTTTTGTTTTTACGATAACATAAAATAGAAAACTGAATGCGCTTTTTATTGTGTAGAAAGGATGGCTCTCCTGCGAAAATAATCAAAAAAGTTTTGGAATGTTTTTTGAAACAAATTAACACAAAGCCTTACGGAAAATAAAAACTTTTAAAGGTCGTTTCACGAAAATATACAAAAAAAGTACACTTAATGCCTATTTATTGGAACGTCTACGAATTTAAGAAAAACCTATTTATCTAATCAAATGTATACCATTTTTATTTCAATCTGAATGTTCTAGTTGTGGCAAACACATGTCTCAAGTACTAAACGATATGTTTTACTGTTTAATTATGCCTCTTTAAAGTTCATAAACATGGTTTGAATAATTTATAGCCGTTTTCACCATTTTGTCTTAACAATTAGGTAAAATTTATTTGTAGTGTTATTTAAACTATACCTACTTGTTTTTAAGGGTAGACTGATGAAAACGACCATTTATCTTTGTCAATTGTTACCCGTGATTCAAACGGCTTATTTTCAATATTAAATTTCAACTATTTATCAGAATACACTTGCCCCGTATGGATTATTCTAGAATCCTATACATAAAAGTATCTGATATTGATACTTGACTGTTGTTTATGATTGATTTTTCTGGTATACACAATACACATATTATTATGGGTTACTAAGTATTTGACAGATTTACATACATTTCCTATAATATATTATGTTCTTGACCCACTCACTGTACTTATGTACTTGTGAGTTGTAATCTTTAATTCCAAACTTAAAAACTTTTGTCTTCAACCTGCTTACTTTGTTTAATTCGGTCAAACTATATATAAAACCTTAAGTTATTCAGTTCGTGCTACTGTTTCTGCTTTGTATTATATATAAAGGAGTTTGCAAACAAAACGGAAATATATTATTTAATCTAAAATCTTGTTTTTTAATTTTAATATTACATTGTAAATGACTTTATAGAATATTATGAGTTGTTTAACATACAGCATATTCCAAAATATATTTTCGATGTACTTACTACTTGTATCACACAATACGGTTACAAACATTACTATTCTTAGTTTATTATTTTAAATTCTACAGTGTTGACTGTTGTAACGGACAATGGTACCGCATAATCATTTTTGCCAGTAAAGATTCAAAAAGTAAAATGTGTTCAAAACCTTTTAAAAAATATATCGGGTACTGTTTCCCCCCTTTAGAAACGTGCGTTGATTGCTCAGCGAGTAATACTGTTGTTTAAAACTATAGAGTGAATAGACTAGTTGACTGAAGAGTCTTGAGGTGCCTAACAATGGTCCTGAATAATAATGGATTTTGTACGAAGTGGGTATCAATTACATTGAGTTCAAATACTTGACAGGATATTCCTTAAAAATCGTAGAAGTATCAGGCTCAATTTATATGATAATACATACACATAAATTATTCTACAATGTTATTTAGGGGTTAACCATAGATACACGACTAAAACGATTTTATACAAATTATGTCTGCATAATAATATTGTTGATTTCTTATTTCGGTTGTATTCCAAAAACTAATATAAGTATTAGTTTTTGAGTAACTGTTATTGGTATTTTGTTTGTGTGCAAGAAAATTACAGTATTGTCATTGTACTAATCATATACTGTCGTTATATTATTACATGCGGGTGATGAGTGATGACGTATATGAGTCTTGTGTACTATATATGAAACCAATCAATTATTTTAGTCTGTTTTGAACGTGATAATCCGTTTTAGTATCAGATTACATATAAATCGCATAAGGTCACGAGCATCACCGTCAAAAAAATCACTTAAGTTATCTGAAATATGAGCTTGGACATAATGTTGTAGCGAATATGACGTGGATTATGTTTGTACATTGTTCACTTAAGTTTAAAATTTAATCACAAAAAAGTACAATTTCCAAAGTACCAATAGAGGAGTAAATCGATAACAACCGTTATGTCCGTTGCTCAGCATAATTATGCATGTTATATATTACAGTCCTACTACTAATAAATAGGTTCTATTGCCCATTACACGTGACATCAAGTGGCTCTTAGAAGATTAAATAAGCGCAAACGATAAATAGCTTTCTTTTTCAGGGGTAAAGTACCATCGGTACTAAGGGTTAAAAAAAGTTATCGTGGATGGTCTAGACACAAAAGTATTTTTAAAAAAAAACTACATGCTTCCTCGAAGCTAAACAGAATACAATTATTGGTATAAATTATTATTATGTGTAAGTTTTTTTAATTTTTTATAAATAATGTCTCGTCTTCTTTTGCAAGTTTAAAGTTTATATTTTCCCTAACGAGCGGGCTGCAGATGCAACTGACGCCGTGGTATTGTTGGCAAAACAAGTTTGGAACTCGGGGAGAATGACGGAAGACTGCTACTTATGAAAAGAAATAAGCTGATTATACTTTATTTCCTTAGTCGGTCGCTTGTTCAGAGAAAGAAGCTACCTAAGACCAAAAAGCGACACCGCTTCCACCTTTTATTCTCGTGGCACTCGGTCATAGGATATGTAGGCGTATGTAAAAAAAAAAGCCATCGTAGAAAATGAAATGAAACCCAGTGAAAAGCAGTAAAAAATCTTTGTATCCTGTCTGAAAGTGAAAAAATCTGTGCCAAAAAAAAAAACGCTTTGATGGAAATCTATAAATAGCTTTATAAAAACTCGACTGCGTTAAAAAATCATGTTTTCAGAAGTGCTTTTAAGGTTTAATAAATTGATAAATGTCAAGTAGTAAGAGTCCCAAAATTGGGTATTTTTTGTTATTATTTTTACTGAACAATCATTTGAAATTTGTACATTTCTAGTTTGTAACCATAAAGTCTTAAACTTAATTAAATGTATTGATTTAATTTCATGTGGGTGTTTGTTTTCTTTTTATGGAAAAAGGGTGAATTTTTTGTTTAACGTTCAGTGAACTTATGGGCACAATTAATTCAAGCATGCACCGATTGCATAATAATAGTATGAATAACGCGTTGTTTTTCTGGTTAGGTTACTGTTACATGAATAATACTTCAGGTACTTAAGGTTTTAGTAATTTAAAAAATAATAACAAATGTGTCGGACGTCTCGCCAAAATACGTCAGGCATTTGCAATGGTCAATAAAAATGACGGGGTCAGTGTTCTAGAGTTCATCCTAAATAATAATGCTCTTGACCGTTCCGGTCATTTTTATTAGATAAAAGGCCTCGAAAATATTTAAATTAATATTTCCGCCGTGTTGCCTAAGGCAAATCGTTAGATGTATTGATATCTTATTTTGGGCAATTATATTTATATTTTTGAGACGGCTTGGACATGACTAATAATTTAGGTCAAACTCGATAAATCATTTTGTTGATTAATTTTTATGATAACAAGTTTTTACTTTTAATTAGGAACTATTATACTCTTTTTTTTTATAATTAACTTTGTTATTTAAAAAAAAAAAAACTGTATACTTTTAGTTTTAATAATAGTATTTATGTTCAATGTTGTTTGATGATTAATAATATAATATTATATTGATCGACGTTATTCGTACAGACGACTATCGTTTACGGTTTGTGTACCTAAATAATATTTCCGCCTTGCGATTCGTTTTCCAGACAAATTGTATTTATGATTTATTATATTTTCCGACCAAACTGTAATATAATTAGTCATCAGTCGGATAGGTCATATTATAATATATCCGATTGGTAACCATAATAAAATAACATGTTATACCCCAATAATGAGTAATGACCGATTTTTCAATAAAAATGATTGACAGCGCGGAAGACAACCGAATATTGTACTATTTTGTTCGTAGAAACATATTCTACACAAATCACTCGGAACGGGGTTATGCTCAAGTCATATTATAAGGTACACAATTGATCGCACACAATATACATGTAAGTGCATATAATATTATATAGGGCGCGATCGTGAAGGTACGCTTTCGTTTCGCTGCGGTTAATAGCCGTACAGGAGGACCCAATATAGAATTCGACCCTAGATATTATATTTATTTTTATTACAATGTTCAGACGGGCTATCGAACCCCCGAATCGCACTTAAGACGTTGCTAGAGTTTGCACACAATATATTCGTTCACTTTCGAACCCTTTTTTTTTTTTTTAATTTTTTTCCCTCTATACAATAATATACTTTTAAAGCTTACCTTAGTGTAGAAAATCGCGACCGACAGCGTTATCCACGATTGCGGCGGCGGAAGAGGAGGCGGCGAACACATCTTTGCGTTTCCAAGCGATTTAACCACAATAATAATAATATAATACTATCGTGAAAATATTATGCACGCACACAAAAAACACTCACAAGCGAACGCGCACGGTACACGGCGGTAAATAAAAAGAATGTCTCTAGCGCCAAAAACCACAGGGAGGGTGTGTATAGGTTTTTTTTTTTTGTAGATTTTGGGCGGGGGTCGTCGGGCCCCCTTGGAACGAAAGCGAGCCCACACCGAGCGGCGTTTGTCGGCGGGGGTTTTTTTTCTCGAATTTCGTAGACGATTTTTTTTTAAATAAGTACCTAAGTATATATTTTTAACGGACAGAGCAACAGCGGCAGCGACGGTCGACGACGGCGAACGTATGTGCTGTGCGAGCGCGCTAAACCGAACGTGTACCCACGCGGTCGGCCTGGCCGCCGTTGGCGCATCGTCGGCCGCGCTGCTCGCGCTCCACGAACAAGTGGTGGGAAAACGACAAAAACCGACGGCTTTTTCCAGGGTTGCCCGACACCTCCCCTTGGCAGCTGTGTGTCGGGCTTGCGATAAATAACTCGGAAGATAATAGTTAAATGTATTGTTTTAACGCAACCCCATTCGTCTTGGTGTTGGTGCAACTTGTTTTACCGGCGAATTAATCGATATGGGCGCACTGAACACAAGAAATCTCTTACCGGCTGATGACGACGGTAACTGTGGGTTTGTGGAAAAAAATAAATGTGTGTTTTAATGTTGTAAAATGATTGTTTGATTCTGGAAAAAAAATTCATTTGTTTGGAGACACCCGGTATATTTTACCCTAGTGTGATAATTATGATAAATCGTTTACGACCCCCTCGCCGAGAGCTATATATTTTAAATGTCACGACACCATTACTATTATGATCATAAGCCATACGATTTAATGTCTTAAACTAAAATTTCATACAATATCTCTTGGAAAAAAAAAATAAATTGAGTTAAGTTAGTAGGAGTTAGGTATTTAATTATGTTTTTAGGTTAGGTACCATTTACACTATATTAACGACTTAGACAATAATTAATCATTTACATCGTGTAATAATATACATTATGATGGACATTTCGTCGTTTAAGTACAATAAATGAACAAAACAAATCTCACTGGAATGATACAAAAAAAAAAATACAACTATGATTATATGGCAGTTTTAATTGCCAGTTGTCGTCCTTGTCGATTGATCAAAATAATAATAATATTTAGTGTTACAAGTTACAATCAAGTATTCTGTGTTGTTGACTAACTTATGACAAATCACCATTGATTCTTTTTTTGAACAAATTTCGGCAAGTATCATTTGAACAACATTTTTTTCCCCCTTCCATACGAGCCCCAATGTATAAGTTAATAAAAATGTACAATAATTAATCAAGAGACGAATGTAATAGAAAACGTATTGCTAGACGGTTGATAAAATAACAGTTTTTAGGGTTTTAAGCGCTCCGGAGGGTATTCGAATTAGCGTAAAGTATCCATTAAGGGCTTTTAATGATAATGTTTTATTTACAACGTCACTTCTGGCTTCTTGAGACGGGGAAAAAACAGCTTTAATCAACATAGACACACAAAACATAATTTATTAAACTGAGAAATGTGAAATAAATAAACAACTAGTAATAATAATAATATGTGTAACGTTTGAAAGTTATTAGCATTGTATAGGTCGTGCTCGTTTACAAGCAATATAATAATAAGTTGACAGCTGAGTGAAAAAGAACAAGGTATAGTGTACCTATTTATTGTGTTTGCACGTTTACTATCTTAAATTTTTAAATGATAATTCACTTTAAATTATTTTGAACACGGAATGGGTTGTATGCACACTATTCCATCGTTTGTAGAAATCTCACTGGCGATTATTATCGGGTTGCTGTTTAATGATAGTAGCCCGCTTGAGTTTCCCAGCCAATCACGGTAATGTTAGTTAACTATTTATAAAATCTGGTTAAGTAGGATGAGCCGAGATCTGAGTCAACTCAACATACCAAGAGATAGTGATTTTATAAAACAGAATTCTGCATGCATTCACTTTTAGATCAAATTATTATTACTACTTTTTTTTCAAGTTAATGCAACTATCCCATCCCACCTTTCTTCTTATACTATAGCCAGGTTGCCCCTATGCGGTTATTTATATATTTTTGTGTTTGTTCATGGCCGTTAACAGTAACAACGACCAATGCGGTGTACTTTGTCACATAATTAATAATTTAATAGAAACTTAAAAAACGAGCACTTGCTTATATGGACAAAAAATCGCATGTCGCCAACAATCGATACAACTAAACATACAACATGGACTTGAAATAATGATATCATTTTTGTCGTAAAAAAGAATAAAAAAGTTTAAATTAAACATTTTGAAATTAAACTTTAATAATAAAACTAATCTGCTTAATGGTAATTATACACATTATACACATGCCTAAAATTTATATTAAATCGCGCTGAGCGACCTGTTAAACTTTACGGAATTACCCCAAATTTTGAGAAATTTATTTATTTACTATGAAGATTAATATTTAGTGGTGGGCAAAAAAAATTTTTTTTGTTGCGCCACCCTAATACAGGGTGTTTCTTTTATCATGAACCAGTCAATATCTCACTGGGTTTAATGAATAATTTAATTTTTTTTTTATAATGTTTTTATAAAACGTGATCTCATTTTTTCACAATTCGTTTTTGTTTTTAACCCCTTCCCAACTTAGTTTTTTTTTATAGCAACTTTTAAAACTTAAATGGTAACGTATATATTTTATTAAATTGAGAATAATGTACTACACATTTTGACTGGGATTATTTTTGCATCTGAGCATCGATTCATCATTAAATCTTTGTATTTTTGTTTTTAATGTACAATATATTTTTTGATCAATGTAATATAAATAAAAAAGTGTTTAGAATAGACCTAGGTATAATTCCAGCCTAATTTTCTATTCTTAAATCTTCAAGAAATTAAATTTTTCCAGATTTTCATAATACTCTCAACTTTACAGTTTAAATTAAATACTATATTTATTTATATATGGTTTTTTTTTGTTATCAGAAACAAAGACATATTAGCTAAGGTTAATTTATATTTTTAATAAGCTGAAAACTAGTTATTAAAATTTTTTATAAATTTATATTATTTAAAAATAAAATTTAGAAATCACACAAATAGTACAGTAATCAATTAAAAAAACACACACACCCTTTAGAATTTTAAGAATTAATACATATACCTTGATTTTTTATTTAAATAAACACAAAATGAATAATTTAGAAAGTTTGACTTTTTGAATACAGCGAATAGCGATAGGATGTTGTAGTCAATTTGTAGCCCTGAAATATTGATATAACAATAAATTAACAATGCGGTAATAATACAATATGTAAAATTATATAAAATGTAATATCCAGTAAGAAAAGTCAACAGTCTTATTACAGAGTTATTTGTTAGGTGTAACTAAAAGTAATAAAATTAATCTAAAAGAACTCTTAAAAGATAGCAATTAGCATATAATTTTATTTTTAGTACTTCTATACGTTTGGGGTTGATCATCTGCTTACAAATACTGTTACGATTGTGGCCAACATATCAGCGTAATTATCTCAGGTATCTATTGAACAATTATCTGTTCTAACAAAACAACACGTAATTTACCACCATCAAAAGGTATTTTTTCACTTCTTCTCTTTGGATACTACAAACTTGCTCTAGATCTACCGTTAGACAAATTTTCGAATCTCAGTCACAAAAGTTGAAAAGTAAAAAAAAACATATTTACTCATTCAGAGCGAAATTTGTTTTATTTTATGTTTGATTGATTTGTCAATGCATACATATCGATACATATAATATTATTACAGAGTTCATCCCCCATAGTTTAAGGAATATTCCACAAAAAATTTAAATTATTTCACTTTTTTTTAATAAGCACATTATTATTTTTAGTTAAAATATGTCATTTTTTGAGACGTTTTTTTCTCGAATTTAAAAGGAAAGGGGTATTTTTTTATCGCTCCTGAAAGGCCCTATAATCAGTCATAAATGTAAAAAGTTCATCTCTTCATCTTAGAAATTGTAGAAAAACACCAACAAATTGTTTAAATCTTACACACTATGTATCTTACACACTATGACACACTATGACATTTTTTAAAATCACTTCCAAATTTTTATCGTTGATATTCCCTAGATAATTTATTATCGAGACAAACGTTTACAATCCAATAAAATAACAAAAGGCCTCTCTTAACAAACAGTATACATATTATTTTTATACTTTTTTTCTAAAGGTTGATACTTTCCCCCCTCAATGTGTTTCGTCTTTTTATTTTTGTATTTACTATTTAGAAAACTAATAATTTACTTAAGCCGCCTACAGTATGTCACTATTATTATTATTATTTATCACATTAAAAAAGTTAACAACTAAAACAATACATTATAAAAAAAAAAAAATGTGTAAAGGTGAACAGAGTACTTGCCTAGAGGCTGCAAATGTTTATATCCACCACCGGCTGCTTAAAGTGTATACATTATTTTTTTAAAACCATAAATCTAAGAAATTCCTCCCATGACATATCATCAACTAGAAATCATTTTAAAAGTATTCACATTAAAATTTATCAAACTATTCAATGCTGTAACAAATTGTGTGGTTGCAATTATTATTATTAATAAAAGCGTTTTACATTTTTATAACTTGTTCTTCCTACGTACCCTTCAATGGTGCAGTAATATTTTCGATATCCTCTTTTTTTAGTCTATAACGACGTTGTTTCTTCAGTAAATACTTTTTAACTCTTCTCTTGTTAACTTTATTTTTTTCGTAGACGTATTGTGTTAAAACACCTGATATTGATTTTTTTACTTCAACCATACGATATACTCTTATATAAATATAAACGAGTTGCTAAAATCATTTAATTTGTGTCTTTGATTTACAATTTAAAAACTAATATTATAGAAATAATGCATCTAGAGTTATTACTATTATATTATTCATTAGGTTTATAGAGTATTTCATTATTATATATATTTTTTTTTAATGTATCATATATTAGGATAGAAAAAAATCATAATTACCTCCAAAGTAAATTTTGCTGTTACTGATGCTATAAATTCCTCTTGCGACATTTTAGTATCTAGAAATCAATATAAAAGTATACACATTACAATTTACCAAACGATTCTATTCTGTAACGAATGGAAACTGGAGTCGTTCAATTTTTATTATTGCGTTTTTTTAAATAATATTTTGGCCGACAAAGGTACTACACATCAAAATCATCTAAAAACAATAATTTGATTTGTCGGCTTGTTCAGTTTTTAAGAAAACTAAAATCGCTAAACTAAAAAAAAATTCTGCGGGAAAGTCGTAAAATGAATATTTCAATATTAATTACAATTAGTGTAACCATTATATTAACTTGTTCTACCCAACTATTTTTACAAACGCCTTCTTAATAATAATATAAATACTCCTCAGAAATGTTGGAAAAAACACACTACCAATACCTATTGATATTTATTTATGTACAACATTAAAGTGATTATTTATTTTCACATTTCACATGTATATATTTTATAATATCTGTTAATGAATTATTATTATTCAACGAACCCCACACGGAATCACGTATCTTTTTGGCATCCGAATTAGAAATTTTAAATTCATTGAGCACGTTTGGTTTCTTTAAGTAATCTCTGACTGTATCCGTATAAACACCTTTGCCATCTTCTAAACACCCTTTGTAAATTTTGGCTAGTAGCTAAAGTTATAACATTTCTATTTTTAATACGATAGATTTATAGAGAATACAATTTTTATTTTTTAATGTATCAAACCGGGTTTCCCATTTTAAAATACTAATCGATTTTTCTCCAAAAATACTAATTCAATCAAAAAGTTGCTCATTAGAGACTTTAAGAGTACAAAAGGGGACGTCTATAAAAAAAAAAAAAGATGAGGTTGGGGTGGGAATGGGGTTAGGGTGGAATTAGCTGTGGCACATAACCGAAAAAATTATAACGAAAATAGCGTTACACTGTTATCTGATATGAGATAAGAGATAGGGGTGAGTGATAGGGGTAGGGGATAGGGGTTGGGAAATATGGGTGTAAGATAGGGGTGGGAGATAGGGGTAGGGATGGGGTGAGTGATAGGGTGGGAGATAGGGGGTATTGATAGAGGTGGGGGATAGGGGTTAGTGATTGAGACGGGAGATAGTGGGTAGGGGATAGGGGTATGATATAGAAGATAAGAGATAAGAGATATGTTGTACGTTCAACGTTCAAATTAGAACTAAATAATAAATTCAAAATAGTTTAATTCTCTATGTTAAGTTACTTTTGGCCAGATAATAAATACTACAATTTTAGCCAGAAACTTTATTGTACATAATTTTTTGATCTCCTTGGCCTTGGTTACTCAATGATACCGTGATTACAACGGCCAATCAGAAGGCGATATAAGGCACACGACACGACAGACGACGTAGCTGTGATACCGCTTTTAGGTTACCACACATGACACGGTTACCATATGCATCAAAGTAAAATAACAACTCAAAATAGCTAGAAACTTAATTTACAAATTATGGGTTTTACCGAACAAATTTTCCCACAAAAGTTATTAGTTTTGATAAGAACATTTGTTTGGCTAACAAAAAATACATGGTTTCCATATAAAAAAAACATATTTTTGACCGAAAGTCGGCTATTTTGAATTTTGGACCATATTTTTTTTTTAACGGCCCCTTTTGTACTCTAAAAGTCTCTAATAAACAACTTTTTGATATAATTAGTATTTTTGGAGAAAAATCGATTAGTATTTTTAAAAATAAGACACTGTATAATTAGATAGAAAATATTCAACTTACCGTTGGATTTTCGCAAATTCCTGCATTTGCTGTATACAAATGCACAAGCAAATATAAAAACATAAAACAATTTTTCAAATTCATCATTGTGTTTTTTATTCTATGCATAAAACAATCGTATACTGTTTCGCAGTTGTATAAAACTTAAAATGGTTTCTGTTACAGCGAATTTAGTGTAAAGCGTATGGAAGTTGTATAAACGCATATGTCTTTTGTTTGTTCAATGTAGTTTAAAATTCTATTTTAAAATAAATCGTGGCTATAGCCTATGAATCGTAAAAAAAAAATAGTAATTGTTTTGCCGCTTGACAAATACAAACAATTTAGCTATTTCCTATTTACTCATTCGTCTTGTAACAAAATGTTATTTTTTAGCTTTTTTTTCGCCCACCGCTAAAAATTAATCTTTATAGTAAATAAGTTTATCGAAATGTTGGGTCATTCTGTAAAGTTTAAAGTGCACAATTCGTTGTCTAAAACTAAAACTAATCAATATTCTCTGAATCTGACTGTTGTTCAAATTCTAAGAAGTTACTTTATCGTTTGATATTGTAATAATCTATAAAATCTAGCTCGTTAAGCTCGTTTATTGTGGTTTCATGGTAATTTTAATTATTAAATATATGTTTTTTTATTATTTCCAAAGTGAAATTCAAAAAAAAGATTGAATATAATTTTTTTTTTAGAATCACAATAAAATTTCTCCTAGAAGTGTTGTGTTAATAAAATTAAAAAATAATTGTTTGACATTAGCCATTTTTGTCTCTATTAAAACAAACGATTAGATTACTGTTGTTCTGAACCCAAATGTACTTATTATTAAACAATTCGTATGCTTTGCTATTGGGAATATAATATTATTTTGGCTCTACCGAGTGATGTGCTTAATTTAATTTTAACTACACGATAATTACATTATCTGTAGCATGTTTCTGATGTCAACGATGATTTATCAACCCAGCATAAAGACAGCGTCTAGTTTCTTGACATTTAATAGATATAATATGTTGATCCATTTTTGTTCGTCTAATTACAAGGACGAATACAGAATTCTTGCTGATTAATATAATATCGATTGGCGCGTGCATTTTGACAGATTCGCTTTGTATGTAAATTATTGTAATTTCAATAACAGGCACCTACACAGAGTGACAACTTCTGTAGAGATATTACTCATTGAATTTGGTTTCATCGACATCACCGTTATATAATTAATTACCTAATTTATAAATAAAATATAGGCACTCGTTACTGTTAATACCTGACACTCGGAAGTTCAGAATTCCTATTGAGCATCGTATGTGCTACCTGAAGTGAAAGTAAATACATTATATTATGTTAATTTTGTTTTAATTTATTTTAAGACTTCGGCGACTGTGGTTATTAGCCAATAATGTGTGGAGGACAATACTTGTGACTAAGTGATATTAAGTTTTTTACAAAAGGAAAAAATACAAAGTTCTTAGAGGCTGTTTACAATTTTTATTTCAGTTAGAAAATTAATTATTTTGGTGCTGTTTGCTTCATTGAGGGCTTCTTCAAAGTTGTTCGGTATGGATTATGTTAATCGCCAAATAAATAATACAATTATCTTTGCGACATTTGTAGAGGAACAATAGTTTGTGTCTAAATCACTAGACCGATATCATCATCTATACATTGTAAACTGTGTAGAAAATCAAAAGGTTTAACATTTTGTTTTTATCAGGGATCTCATTTTTCTCTTTTACCAAAAAAAATGTCTAAAACAGAATAAAATATGTTGTTCTGAATCGGACAATCGTTTAACATAATAAAAAAACAACAAATATGGTTTAAACATTTATTTTTATTTTTACCTAAATATTCTTTCTGGAAATTTTTGATGAATATATAGATTTTAAGAAAAGAATAAAATATAATAACTTTGACTGTCCGATTTATAAAAAAACATATTTTATTTTAGATAAACACTAATTTTAGATTCACAATAATGATATTACTTGAGTTGTGCAGAAGTTATGCTGAATATTATTTGACAGCGAACAACCGGACGAAACTTTACAGACATTTGGCAAACACTTGCTGACAGCCTATAGCAGGTCAAGTTGCCCAAACAGTTACCCGATATTGATTACTTTATGTCACGCATAACATACCTACTGATCAGTCGTTCAGTACACTGGCGATTAGGCTATTCTAATATACGTTGAAATGTACAAACCAAGTAGAAATAGTTCACCTATTGATGTGTAAATTAGACATTATATTGCAAAATACATTATATACATCGAATATATAAAGGGCTTATTTTACCATATTTAGTAAATTTTGACAAATAGGCGTTGAAGTTTTTAATTTTTCAAAAAAGCGCAAATCGAATTATTAATTTTGCTCAAAAATTTATGTTTACCATTTAAGACACAGCGAATTAATGATGAAAAATATGCAGTATGATCTTTCTGTTATGAAAAAATAGTAAACATAGTTTGTCAATGATTCTTCTCCAACTCCTCTCTAAATCTTCATAAAAAAAAAAATCATTATTCCTTGTTTTTGCATTTCAATAACAAACAAAAAAAAGTTTTCTCATTGTTGCTGTATAATTATATTGTTCTTTGTACATAAAAGCTTAACTGTGTCAACATAGTTGTATGTATATTATGTTTGTAAATTTTTAAGAAAATGTTCTCTCTTAGCATATATTTTTTTTAATTGTATTTCATTTCATTATTCTTTTCAAAGGCACTAAAAAATACATCACGATTTTACGCTTTATTTTCCTATGTACTAGCGCAATTCGTTTTCTATATTAGATCTTGCCACTTCGTTCTAGTTCCAATACAAATGGAATTGCAAAATCTTCTCATTCCATAAAATGTTCCCCCGTCGTTGAAACCGAATCCCTTTTGTCTGGTACTTACTTCCCATCCTTCGGTCACCCGCACTTTATTCGATCCGTTTATACATGTATTATGTATGCCATCACGTGCACGCTTTGGTGTATTATGAAAACGATGAAATTGAAAGTAGGGATTCAATGTCACTCCATCGATCACATCACCGGTTCCCCTATAACCAGAGGACTTTTATATAGGAATATTACAAAGTATAGGACTAGAACATAAAACTTGTTTTAATAATTAATTATATTTTTCTTGAAGTATCCTCATGGGGGTGCGTTCTATCAAAGACATTGTTAGACAGAAAGGGGTTTTTTTTTAAGTGGGTCTAATATAATTAGCGAGTGAAATCGTCCGTTACCAATATTATTATGATTCCGAATAAATTGTTAAAAAAAAAAACCTAATAACGAAATCGCCGAGTTTTGTTTTAACACTAGGTACCTATGAAGAGGTTTCAAGCTGGACGATTAATGACTGGACTATATATTATATATTATCGTTATACTGACGAATGAAAAATATATATTCAATACAACTAGACAACCGCAAGGTTGTGTATTAGTTATTTATGATCATAAACTATGCACAATAATAACCGTGTCTAAAAGAAAACAATAAAAAAAAAATGTTAGTCGTTTACCATAAAAATATATTATATTAGCCTTGCCTTGATGTTACTATAGCAAGGGTGAATATTAGTGTTGATTTAAGTGTAAGTTTAATTAGTTGCATGTATATAGTATGTGCGTATGTGAGCGAATTGCCATACTTTATTTTATTTTTCGCTGTAATAATTCCATTGTCGACGAGGTAAAGTTATTCAATGTATAGATTGATTTGTCAGAAGGCCGATCCGTTTTCGAATTGCCCGCTTTGAGCATACTTACCCGTATGAATTACCTATGTACGGCTTTTGTGGATTGGACAATAGCGCCGACTAATCAAAGCCCCAAGGACGTGGTCTACAACAGCATTATCATCACCGATAAGACAGACTAATAATTAAACATAGGGATTAAGGATAAAACCGAAACACCGGGGATTAAACCTATTTAAGTGCCTGATGCGCAGTTTCTATGAGGGAAAAAAGAAACAAACTAGTCCTTAAGCCTGGACTATAATACGAAATGATATTATATTATAAGCCTACTAGGTTTATTTTTAGGTGAGTGACGAGAGAGCAAGCATAATTACATTTAGTTTGAGCTTAATTATTAAAAAAAAATATGTCTTTCGGTTTTACGACGATAATAGTGAATCATAATAATAGGTCAAAATCAATGTACATATCATTTTGTGAGATGATCAAAATAAACCAGTAACGATTTGAGATAACTGCTGTTTGCTACATTGTGGTTCAAATAAAATGCATTTATCGAATAAAATAATCCAAGTAATCGCCTAAATTCGCGGTGCCTGTATGGCGTTACCGGATCTTAACTGGATTACAAACAGTGGCTTAGCAATTATGCTTATACGTGTATTTCAACTGCGCATTACAGATCAAACTAGGCCTGCAATGCCTGAGCCCTAGTTTAACTACTAGGAAAGGTCACGTCACGTGAGTTTCCTAATTAAGAATCAGTTTGTTTTTTCTAGCAAATCAGACTAGAATCTAGAAATGTATGTGTGTGGGGGGGGGGGGAGAGTAATTTGACATTCGCTTTACACGGGTTCGAGTAAAACCCAGATATAGTCATTTCAATTATTGTTAACACAACAACACAATGTCAAGAATTAAAAAAATAACCGCTTCCAAATCACTGGCATAAAACTCCTCAAAACTGAGAGTTATAAATGTAGCCATCGTAAAGAAATGTTGTAAAATAAAAAGTAAGTCGAGAGGATAGCCCGCAGGACTCACGCCTGGTAATATTTCTATAACCGTAGATTTATTTTTTATAGTTTGCAGAATACATTTAGAATTTAAATACTTCCCATTATATTTAAATAATTATTAATATTGATTAGATATTCTCAAATATTAACAAACAGGCCAACAGCTAAATAAATAGACTATTATCATAGTCTAGGGTAATGTAAACCATTTCTATTTTAGGACGCCCCCGTGATCTCTATTCGGTGTAGTAAACAATATAAACATCACAATTTTAGAATTTACACGTAAAACGACAAAATCCTTCGGTAAACAGTGAACATTTTAAGTCGATTGGTTGGTCTGGAGATGAACGACTACTTCTCGGGTTGAAAACTTTTTAGCGTTTAGATGAGAAATGAGATGGAGTATATTATTTTACAAAGCAAGCCTACATTGTCGATGACATTT